GTAGCATGGATAGATTTAAGGTTCGGCTCGTAGCCAAAGGATATAACCAGGTAGTAGGCATTGATTATTTTGAAAGCTTTCACATGTTGCTAAGACTGTTACGGTAAGGATATTCTTAGCACTTGCAGCATCAAAATCATGGCTTGGATATTAATATTGCCTTCCTCCATGGCTTTTTGGATGAGGAAGTCTATATGCAACCTCCAGAAGGGTATTCTAAAGCCAAAACATGCCATATTTACAAATTGAAACGCTCCCTTTATGGCCTCAAGCAAACTTCGAGACAATGGAATTATGAATTTACTACACATTTGCAGACCTTTGGGTTTAAACAATCAGCTCATGATAATTACTTATTTGTCAAACAGTCCACTGCCTGTTTCCTTGCCCTGATTGTTTATGTGGATGATCTGCTCAATATGGGCACAAATGAGGATGATATTATTGCAACCAAACAATTCTTAGACTCTCAGTTTACAATTAAAGATCCTGGGTATGTGAAATACTTTCTTGGTTTGGAAATAGCAAGGTCTATTACTGGCACTTATATTCATCAAAGGAAATATGTTCTTGATATTCTTGAGGACACTGGACTTTCAGATGCAAGGCTACTCTTACTTCTCTACCTACATGTTATAAATTCTAAGTTACTATGGGAGAGCCATTTCATCAACCTGATAGGTATCAGAGGCATATTGGGAGGTTACTCGATCTTGGATTTACAAGACCAGACATCACTTATGCAACTCAACAGCTTAGTCAATTTGTTTACAACCCGTGTCAATCTTATTGGCATGTTGCTATTCATGTACTTCATTATTTGAAGGGTTGTCCTGCAAAAGGATTGTTCTTTCCCGCAGACAATTCATTTCAGTTAACAGCATATTGTGATGCCGACTGGGCTTCATGCGTTGATACTCGCAGATCACTTATTGAGTATTGTATCTTCTTGGGGTTTGCTTTGATCTCTTGGAAGACCAAGAAGCAACATACTGTATCCAAGTCCTCTGCCGAAGCTGAGTATCGAAGCATGGGGTCTACTGTAAGCGAATTACAATGGATTTCCTACTTGTTAAATGATTTTTGTCTTTCACCCTTACTTCTTATTCCCTTACTGTGTGACAATCAAGCAGCCCTACATATTACAGCCAATCCCGTCTTCTATAAAAGGACAAAACACTTGGAAATTAACTGTCAAATAGTGAGGGACAAATTCAAGCAAGGATTCATTCATCCTCAACACATTTCCACTAAGCAATAGCTTGCGAACATGTTTACTAATGCTCTTCCTGCTCCTGCATTTTGTACTTTTCTATCCAAGTTGGGCTTATGTGACTTTCATCAAGCTCCAACTTGAGGGGGGATGAAGAAATAATATCCATATTCTTCTTATTACAATTAATTTCTGATAGTAGTTGATAGTCAGTTGGTTGATGTTAGTTGATTGTTATATAGTTATTACAACAAATTGGTTATTTACTCCAATGTAATTAGCTAGGAGTGAGTGCCATTTGTGTATAAGTATACTTTCATTTTCATTCAATAAATTTGAGAAGTTATTCTTCCTCATAAAACATTTAAGCCATATCATACATTTATGCTATACTCAGCAGAATTATGGCTTGATTTCTTCAATATACCGTACCAGCATGTTGGCCACACTGCGTCATAGATAACGACACAAGCGAGACCGATTACGCCCAAAGAATAACGCGATAGTTGTAGCACAGTTTCGGAGTGTCGTATCTACAGGGAGATGGAAGAATATTTAAAGGATAAAAAAGGCTGAATTGTTCTCTCAAATGTGTAATAAAATTCAATGTTGAAACGTGAAATTAAAATCAATAATTTGAAGCGGTGAAGCGTCGGAATTCCCTCAATTGGATTGGATCAATCATATCAATTATTCATTTTTATAACACAATTA